CCAGCACCCAGGTCCCAACCTCCCCAACCGCCAACCCCCGGCGCCCTAAGAAGGGCCGAGGCTGCCTCCGCAGATCCGCCCGCGGGGCTTCCGGAGCTGAGGCTAATTTTTAAAAATTTCTCTTCTCCGGTTTGCATTTTCCTTTGGACTTTGGCCCTTTCAGGATCTTTCAAACCTTAAGCACTCTCCACCATCAGCTTGGGTTTTGCTATTAGCTATATGTCGCTCCTAGGACTTTGATTAGCCCTAGAAATGGCCACAGATGAAATCAGGCAAATAACAATAACCTGTCTTTTCCCCTTTCTACCTTTTGGCATTGTTGACTGAGGCCAAAAAAATAAAAATGCCTCCATTTCTTCCAGCCCTAAGGGCTCTTGACTTCTCATTAGAAACAATCTGGTCACTTGTGATCCATTCCAACCAGTTTCATTTTCCCCAAAAGCTTCATTTATCAACTCTCGCGTCTTCATCTTTTGAAATGATTCTTTGCTGTCAGCACCTAACCAGTCTCCTGTTTCTCTAATTCCTTTCTTTGGGTTTCAGTTACTGTCGGAGACTATATCGTCTTCACTAGCAGAGAGGAGTAGAGACCCCCCCAAAAGCTAGTGACCTTTGAAGACCTAGCAAAGGTCAGAGCTGTGCACCACCCAGTTAATCTAGATAATGGTAGCTGAAGCATCATCTCCACCTTAATTCACTTAATTCCTTAGATACTCATGTAAATCCTTGTTGATTATTGTTGACTAGATATTCTGCCTATTTCTGGAAATTGCCTGCTGATGAGCTAATCTGTGTGTCATTGAAATCTCCTTACCTAAGGGCTACCCCAGATCAATAAAAGGTTGGAGCGGCCTGAGCATCAGTGGAAGTCCCTCTCCTAGAGTTGGACTTGCCCGCCTGGTCCCCCAATATTTCCAAATTATCTCGTGTCATTTCTCTCTCAGTTGTGTGCGGCTCCTCTTTCAGATCCCGAACCCTAAACCACACAGGACTTGGAAGGAAACACACTCGACAAGTGCCTCCTATAGAAAAGACCAATTTATAATTGCCCGTTTACCATTCTTCATTGTCCTCAAACTGATGGTAGTTATATCCACACCTATTTCCTAGGGCTGCATTTAAATAATGACAGTTATAGTCACGCAGTTTATTCTTGCTAGAGAACTGGCCATCCTTGTGACGTCTCCCATCTCACTTCCCATTTCTCATCCAGAAGAGTATTCATGCCACACTTACCATGGCAAGGCCACGCGCTAGGATTTACCTTTTTCTGTCTTGTGAGGTTACAGATTTATTCCGAGGATGCTGCCATTACCATATTTTGGGAGCTCCTTTAAAAAATACTTTCAGCCCCTGTAGTCACGACTTATTTTTTTTATTATTATTCACCTTATTCAGACTTTTTCTCCAAATGATTACGGTTTAAAGTAGCAAATCTAAAGTATCAAATTAAGGACTGAAGATGACCACCTTAGAGAATGACTGGTAAATTCTGAAGATGACTTCAGAAAAGGAGTTTTAACTTCCTAAGGTGGTTTGTATGGGACAATCCTTGTTTGGATATTTAAGTGCTGGTATATTTGTCTAAAATAACCTTTCTTCAGAGGGGAGGATACTGGAACAGACTGACAGCTGTGAGAGGGAAGGGAGGAGGGCTGGATGAAAGGTGAAGGGTGGATGAAAGAAGGTGAAGGGATTAGCCAAAGAACATATATGCATGACACATAGACATAGACAAGTGTGGAAGGCCAGAAAGAAGGGGGTGGGGTGGAGGCTGGTTGGAGGTGGGCAAAGGGTGGGGGGAAATGGGAACATCTTTAAAAGTGTCAACAATAAAATAAAAGTTTTCTTTAGTCATACCTAATGTATTTTAAAAATACATATAGCATTCTAAAATACATTAAAGGAAAACTATTCACAGGGTAACTTGAAAAAGTTTGGTATAACTCAGAAGTTATTCTGGAATTTGTGTTTGAGTCAGTTTTCAACATTACTTGACTATTCTATATTACAGATGTGGAATAGGCTTTAGAAACTGGACGGAGTATACACTCAACCTATTTCACACCCCTAACGGCTTTTCTGAATACTTGGTTACCTGCTTGCACATTTCTCCTTTTATGTCTTCCTCTCATTAAATGCTGCACAATATTCATTCAGTTTGTGATTTTTCAATGTTTGAATTTCAAAATAAATAGGTATTTACATAGACTTACCTAACTTAAAAAGAAGTAATTTGAAAAATCACTTCAGTGGGGGTAAAACTATTATAAATTGCTTACATCAATCAAAATTTTTAGTGTTTGAAGTCTACTAACTTACTGTAAATAAAGGGCAAAAGCTGAATATAATGAAAACTGTATTTTTATTGCCTTTTATTTTCAACAGTGATTACTTGAACTTAAAAAATAAAGTATTAACTAATGTTTATTGAAAAGCCAAACCTTTCCAGCCCACTTCATGTTCTCTTTCAACCATTTCAGGGCAGAACAATGTTCCAAACTATAAACCTGCTCCTTATTAACATTGACGGTCATGTGCTTAACAAAAAGCTTTGGGTCTGATAAACGAGCAGCCATCATTAATCTTTCCACTGCAGCTTGATAATCATCCTTGCTCCGAGACTTGTTTTCTTCACATCTATAAAGTAAAAAGACCTCACAAAGTCAGAAACTTGAAAAGAAGCTAGATAGTTTCTTCAAGATATTTACATTTACTATTATTAGTTATGGCAGACTTTTCACTACATTCTCCTACAGTGTCTTTCTAAGTTTTTTGACCATGACACAATAAGAAAGATCTTTTGTGTTGGGACCCAGTAGAATCCTCATACATAAAAATGGAAAAGTTTCAGCGAACAAGATGCATCCTTATGACAATGTACTCTATTTTCTATTGTCTCATTTTTAATTATGTGGTTGCAATCCCCTATACTGATTGCACCACACAATGGGCTACAACCCACGGTCTGAAAAACACTGATCTAGAACACTGCTAATAACCTCAATCTTTATATTTTCAAAGTTAAAAATTGCATAATTTTTCATTATAATGCATAGAATAATACTGAATTTAATCAGGTTTGGAGTTACTGACATGTTTTACCTTGACATTGCCTATTGTTGACTGTAAACATACTATGTAGCTAACATTTGGTAACAGAAATTACAGTGTTCCTTTACTGAATTTCTGGTTATTTTTCTTCAGCCCTGATTTAAGGTACTTCACAAATTGCTAAAATTTACTTTTCTAAAAACTTTTCTACTAGTCTTCAAATTTCATAAAATTCATACCGAATGGTTTTTTCCTCCTTATGGGATAGGGAGTGGGAAGTATTTAAAACAGAGATGTGGTTGTTATATTAAGCATCACTTTTTGTGTTTGCTGAATCCTGCTCTTGGCATCTATAGGGTCCAGCAGCAAATCCCAAGAATGAGCCTACCTGCATTAACAGCACAGTGTGGTCTACAGAGTGGTGGGAGTGAGGAACAGGAACCCCAAGGGTCACAGAAAGGAAAGACTGGTCAAGAGCTTTCTAGTACCTTCTGGCTTAGGAATTAATGCATAGAACCTGGTAGATTGAGCATGTGCCAAATGTATGCAGTTTTTGAAACTCTTAAGGATGAATAAAATTCTTTCTCATAGAGGTTATTATAACAAGATGGGGCTCAGTATGATAATAAGAGAAAACAATATTGGCTTGGACAAAATTAAAGATGGGGTCACAAATACCCGTAAAATCCAGCAATGAGTACAGAGGCTGCATATATGTGGAGAATGAAAACCTATGAGAAAACCACATCCTCATTAGGACGATGGGGAGCCCAATGCCTCAGCCACTGCAGTGTACAGGGTAAATAAGGAAGCCCTCATAAGAGAACAGACCTAATGAAGGGGGAAAAAAAAGCCAATTTTCGTTGGTTTAAAAAAGATGGCCCTAGCCCTAATCAACTGCTGAACAAAATAGAAACAGAGGTATGGGTACGTGGAACAGAATGACAGCTGTCAGAGGGGAGAGGGGCACTGGATGAAAGAAGGTGAAGGGATTAGCCACAACATATATGCATGACACACAGACACAGATAGCAGTGTGGTGATGGCCAGAGGGAAAGGGGAGTGGGGGCTGAGCTGAGGTGGGCTAAGGTGGGGAGGGGGATGGGAACATTTGTTAATAGTGTCAACAACAACAAAAATGGCCCTAAAATTATTTCCTAATTTGTTTTGCATATAGGCGAGATGAAATGCCTGATTTATCACAAATAGAATGAAGCAGACATGACAGTGTACAACTCTGGACTCTAGGTTGTTAGATGACAATTCTCCACGGGTCCCTTGCATTTCCCGAAGTTTTGAGAGCAGAAACACTGACTACTCC